CTGCTGTGAGAAAAGGCTATAAACGATCGGCCACCTGCAGGATCCTCACATGCGATAGCCTAGTAGCCGGGACAACGTCTTTATATTTACAGAAGTGACGTAATGTGCCAGTGCCATGCTCGAATTTCCCGCGAAAACCTACCCGTACCACTCAAATCAGAAAACATCATTAACCATCATTAAACTAACCATTGTGAAACAGGCTAAAGTAAGGTGATAGTTTTGAACACTGGCTGGTTATGTACTTGCTCAAATCTGGATTTCGGATCATTTTTAACCAAAAAAAGTTACGGACTGCAGTGTTAACCAACAAAAGATGTTAAATAAATATGTTAAGTAAACCCACTGTATCTGAAAAAATTAGTTTACTTTGTATCTCTTTCATATTTGTCTTATTGTCTTATTCTGCTTCTTTTTCAAAAATTATAAATTATATATATTATATATGAACAACTATAATTTGTATAAGTTACTCCCTTTTCACTACTGTTAAAGGGATAGTTCAATTAAAAAAATAAAATTGTCATAATTTATTATAGTTTTTCCAAATTCAATCCTTGATTCAAATTTCTCATAAGCTTAATAATTGATTTGGTCTAAAGAGAGAAGAATTAATGACTATTTTTGTTTGTAGACTACATATAAAATATCTACCAAAATAAATGTTGGTAACTGCAGTTTGACTAAAAGTAATGAAATGCAAAAATGCAATGACTTTTCGTCAACTAAAACTATGAAAGACTCAAATGACTAAAATGTGACTAAGACGATTAAGCATTTTCGTCTCAAGATAAAGACTAAATCAAAAATGCCTGTCAAAATTAACACTGGAACGTTGAAGTGCATCCCTAGCCTGAAAATTCTGTCATCGTTTACTCGCCCTCATGTCGTTTCAGACCTGTACGACTTTCTTTCTTCTGTGGAACACAAAATATGATCAACATATGATATTTTAAGAACTAATATGATATTCATAAACTATATTTTTGTCAATTTTATAGGGGTTGTCCATTTTATAGTGTGGTCCAAAACAACATACCTCTGTGGAACACAAAAGAAGTCATACAGATTTGGAAAAACATGAGGTTGAGTAAATTATGAAATATAATTTCTGGTTTAACTATCCCTTTAAGCCATAGATCAAACCTGCAAGCTTTTCATTTCCAGCCCTTAAATTTAACTACTAGGCAACACAACCCCACACTTCACCCCTCTCCTTCACCCACTTACTTTGTTTTCTTGGACTGACGGAGCACTACAGGGTTTATTACTCCTTCTGTTATGGTCTTTTATACACAGTCATCCTAAGTCTGCATGGCAATGCGGCATCATTTATGAGATACCTTACAGAGGCCAGCACTGCAGTCCAATTTTACTCCCTTGCCAATGCTGCCTTTCCATTTGAATATTCAATTGCGATCAGTAGTGAAGGCCAGGGTTGGTTAAAATGCTGACCATGACGATCTTTCTGCAAATCAGTGCATAATATCAGTGCCAATGGACAATGACTGAGCAAGTGAAAGACTAGTTGTTTACTTGCTTTTGTTTTTTTTACAATGGCCAGGATTTCAGTCTGGCTGCTGTGCAAGAGAACTGCTTTATTGTGGGTTTTTTGCCATCCCGATGATATCAAGATAGGACAACGATCAAGAATATATGAGGAAATTGCAAAATAAGATGAGACATTTGTGGTTGAGAGATTGTAAATCTCTAACTGAGACTCCACAGTGGCTACTGCGAGCGTTTGACAGAATCCATGTGTTTATATGTGCAACAATAATGATTAAAGTTCAGCAACTAAAGTTGCTTAAAGTTAAACTAAAGCGGCTTCAGGTCCATTATCCTTTAACACCTTCACAGTGTATTTCTTTCAATACAACACCCTTGTGTGACATTATGCCTCTACGGTGTAAAACAGCCCTTGAGTGTTTGGGGAAGCGGTCAAAATGTCACCAGATCAATGAGTGTTGTCTCCTCTAATGTCCAATACCATTGCGAGCTTTCAGAACTTAACTCGCCCTAAGCTTTTACTTTCATGAACCGCATCTTGTTTTTCTTGTTTCTTTGAGCTCATTCCAGATATGTTTATCCGCTGGGTCCCTCTGGAGATTTGCACCTCTGGATGTTTTACTTAAAGCTGGAGCAAAGTTCACTAGAGTTTCTCAAACAGAACTTCATCAAATATACATGCTTAAGATCCTCAGAAAAGTGCTGATGTGCTCTTATCTGTCTGGCTTCTCTCCTCTTCCTCTCTCTTTTTCTCTCTCACTCGCTGTAGGTATATGAACGTGGAACTAATGTTGAGCAGTTTGTGACCCGCTTCCTGTTGAAGGAATCAGCCAGTCAGATCCAGTCTCTGCTGAACTCTGTAGAGAGTGCTGTGGATGCCATTGATGAGCAGCATTCATCAGTGGGGTGAGAAATAGAGCATGTCCTATCATGACCCAAAGCATGTGTTCCACAGTTTCATCAACATACATGTCCATTAGGATATGAATATATCCATAACTTAAGTAGACTTTCAATTTAGCAAATGCTTCATGATTACAGTACAGTAATTGTAGGATTTAAATGGCTTGTGGACAATAATAATAGAGCAGTTTTAGGATCTCACATGGGTATGGGATAGAAAATGGATCCTTTGTTGTAGCAGTCTATATAATTGATTATTGGGCTGCAATCATATATTTGAAAAGGATTTGCTTAAGTTAAATAAAAAAAGATGACTAGTAAAATCACTAAAATTAAATAATTAGCTGATTTCAGTTAAACAATTTAATCATCTGTATTCCTTGTTCTTGATCTCCCTGTTATGACCTAGATCCTACCCTAGTAAGACCAGCCCACGCGTCCCAGATAGGCGCTATGAGGCCCCAGTGCCAGATTATCCTCCCAACAACAGAGTCAGTGCAAAGGAGAGCATGAGGAACATCAACACAGGTGCAGGTAAGGTGATCACATCTGTTTCCAGCTATTTCCAACACATTTGAAAAACTTTCAAGTTACAGTCAATCATGAACACGCAATTGTTTCCAAAAGACAATTAAAGGGGTCATATGATGCGATTTCAATTTTTCCTTTCTCTTTGAAGTGTTACAAGCTCTTGGTGCATAAAGAAGATCTGTAAAGTTGCAAAGACTAAAGTCTCAAATCCAAAGAGATATTCTTTATAAAAGTTAAGAGTCAGCCACGCCTACCTAAAATGGCTCGTTCTAACACGCCCCCACATGTCTACATCACAATGTGGGAAGATTTGCATAACGCCACCCAAATGTTCACGCAAAGAAAGAAGGCATAACTTTTATTTCCGCTGTAGTATTGTTGTTGCTGCCGCCATGTCGTGAAGGCGCTGTGTGTTTCGTTGTGAAAGCGAAACTACTTTGTTTGGTCTTCCAAAAGAGGACGATATCCGCTTCGTCATGCCTAGAGCTGATCCGTGCTGGTCGCTGAGGAAATACATCAACTTCACGCTGTGGATCGCCGGATCGGCTTTCACCGTGGACGAAGCGGAGTCCAGCCCGGGGTCGTCACATGTGGTTGCCGCAAGCCCGCCGGCCTCCACTCACTCAAGCCCGCCGGCCATTCCTCACTCTAGCCCGCCGTGTGTTTCGTTGTGAAAGCGAAACTACTTTGTTTGGTCTTCCAAAAGAGGACACGACTAGAAATCAGTGGTTAAGTTGTATTTACAACACTGTTCCAGAACAGTTCAACCCAAATATTCAGATGTGTCCAGTGCATTTTATGGAGGACTGTTTCCTGATCCTGGGAGAGTAGACTACAATGCCGGTTGTTCTGACTCACAGACTGTAAGTACGTTTTCATTTAAAGGATTTGCCACTGACGATTCAAACGTGAGTTTTGAGCAGTGTAGAGTAGCGCTTGTTGTTTGTCATTTCTCTGATCACAAATGCTGACATGGTTTTATGTTTACGCGGCGTGATGCAACGCAACATGGAAAAAGACAGTATAAGTCATTATAATCTGTAATTATGTCCCCACTGGATGCAACAAATGCCTAGTTTATAATGGGTTTTAATGTTTTTGTTTCGTCGCTCTGGCCAGGACACTGCAGCACAGGGGTGTAACATTTCCGTCACACGCTCGAGGTATTCGGCCAATCACAACGCACTGGATAGCTGGCCAATCACAGCACACCTCGCTTTTCAGACCGATGAGCTTTGTAAAAATCGATGCGTTTCAGAAAGGCGGGGCATAGAGGAGAAACAATAATGTACAGTATGTGGAAAATAATGTGTTTTTTGAACCTTAAACCGCATAAACACATTTTATTACACCAAATACACAAAATAATGTTCTTTTTAGCAACATCATATGACCCCTTTAAAAAAAAAGAAGAAAAAGCTTGTATATGTGTTTTTGTGGAGTATAATATTTGATACAACAGACTTTTATGGCTCATACAGTCAAGCAAAACATATAATGCAATGAAATACAATGATAATTGAGAGATGTACAAATAAGCATTCCTCAATAGCCTGATGCATCATATTTGATACTCACTTTTTAACATGAATTTTGTGAAGTGATGTATGGATAATCAAGTACACCTAAGTTGATTCAGACCAGTAAGTGTTCATCTTGAAATATAACCTTACTATATAACCTTAATATAACAATAAAGGTTATTCTTATGTTTACTTTAAAAACCAGTACAATTTTCACAGCAGAAAATACATGTGTACCACAACCTGGTAGACAGTTTTACCATTATATTAAAAGGTCTTTTACTTGCTAAAAAAAAGTCTAAACCACTGTATCAGTCAGATGACAGAAAGCATGTAGAATATTGTGTACAAGTTTTTGATCATGTTAATAATTTAGAGGCCTTAAAAACTTGTGTATCAAATATGATACAGTAAGTTTTATAGGGTTAAGTATGTACTTATGCAGTAGATGCGTTACAAGAATTCAAGCCTGAAATAATGTAAATCTGGAAAAACCCGGTAGCACAAACCTTACAAAAGTTACTTTTACGTAATGAATCCACTTATGATTCCAAGCATTAGCATAAATGCACAATGCATCTGTTTATATGAGCAGAGCCAGCTGTGATGAGACATTTTGAACAGGGTTATGATGAAATGGTTGGTTCTTATTTCATACGCCTGAGAGTTCTTTTCCAAGAAACCTCTCATTTTTGTCATTTACATAAGCTCTGTTCCAAACCCTAGCGAGCTGTCTTGCTGTTTACTACTTGCACAGAGAGCTGCCTTCTACAGCGGAATAGGCATAAAAATACAAAAATGTTTAAGAACTTTATTATACAGTTTAAAAGTTTGGGGTCGATAAGATTTTTAAATTTCATGCTCACCAAGGTTGCATTTATTTATGCATTAATTATTTAGCAAAAATGCAGTACAAACAGTAATAGTGTGACATTATTACAAATTTAAAATAGCTGTTTATTAATATTTTGTAAAAATGTAATGGCAAATGATGGCAAAGCTGAATTTTCAGCAGCCATTACTTCAGTATTCAATGTCACATAATCCTTCAGAAATCATTCTAATATTCTGATTTGGGGCTCAACAAACATTTCAACATTCAAAAAACAGCATTTATTTGAAATAGAAATCTTTACTAACTTTCTAAACCTCTTTACTGTCTCTTTTTATCCTTCTTTTCTGAATAAATGTATAAATGTCTTTAAAAAAAATAAATAAATCATACTGACCCCAAACTTTTGAACAGTAGCACACATAAATACTGGGTAAAATAATATTTTTTTATATATTATACTGTTTACATATCACACAAAGTATTATTATCAATACTTTTTAAAATTAAAGGGGTGGTTCAGTGGTTGTTTTCTAGGCTTGATTGTGTTTATGGGGTGCAGTCTAACATGTGTTAACGCTTCGTTTTTTTAAAAACGCATTATTTTTCACATAATTTACCTTTATTCCACACCGCTCTGTCCCTTCTCTGAGAAACACGCTGATCATTTCCTTCTTTTATGAAGCCCCTCCCTCAGAAATAGGCGATGGGCTCTGATTGGTTAGCTAGCCCA